AGGAGGTGCTGTTCTGCCTGACAATGTGCACCGTTCTGAGGACAGCAACGCTTTCCAGACATTTGGGACCTGTGACCAACTGCCAGCTCTTAAGAATTTCTGAGCAAGTTTCTGAATTGAATTGGTGTCATTTTTATTCTTCCATTGGGTTTCCCTGATCCCTGATAGCAGGTGAAAGCACTTGCTATAGCCTCACTTATCTTCTTTAGATCCCCTACAGGGGATTATTGTAGATTATTGGGGCCACTTTTCTGTTTAAGCACATGAATTCATGAAAATGATCACTGGTAAAAATCATCATGGATGATGCTAAACACGAGAGTCTCAACTACAATGACTTGGTGTGGATGAATGTGACTGATGACAGAGTTTCATTTTCACTGACTTAATCTATGGTCTGTCTATTTGCTATTTTCTTTTCCCCCAAATCCACTTTATATAAATGTAACTTATTCCCTAGTTAATCCACTTTTCAATAAAAAAGTATTGACTTTATGTTCTTCTCTCTCCAACTATCAATGCTTTTACACATTCTACATATTACTCTGCCTTTTGGATAAAATCTAGGACAAAAAAGTAGTAATCAGTGGCATTTTAGTTTCCTATGTAATGCAGACCGCTTGTCTTTTTATTACTAACAGAAGGATTATCAGTAATTATGTTTCAAAACAAAGATAACTTGTTTTGATAAGGGAAAATAAAGGATAAAAAAGAAAAATGTGAAGCTAGACAGGAAGAGTAACATACTTGAAAGCCATTGTAAGCTTTCCTGATAGACTCCAATAAATGCAGCATCACAACAGTAATTAAAAGGAATTCCCCATATTGCCATTAAACTTGGAATTCCTTTTTGAATTTCACCTTTGACCTTTTCCACATTTGTTTAATGTCACTGACGTGGTCCAGCCATACTAGCAACAGAAATCAACAGCAAAAATCCTTTCATTGATCAGGGGATTTTAGGCGCTCCGAAATAAAAATCCCAGTGATACTGCATCATAGAAATTATGTTCTCTGTGAACTCAGATTTCTCTGACAGAGGAATATACATCAAAACCCAGTGAGATGTAAGGAGACTGTGTCAACAGATCAGTTTATCAAGCATGGAAAAAAAGAGAAGTTGTTATTTTGCCTAAATGAGGAAAGACAGTGGAGTATAAGGGGCCGGAATACACAAGGGTTTAAAACCAAAGAATAAGAAAAATTATTCTGGGAAATTTACTCTTTTCCTTCTTCATTGACCAACTGAGCCCTGAGGAGAGCTAAATAAAACAGCAATAATCCTTTCTCACTGTAACGTGTTAAGGCTAAGATTATCATCAGATTATTCAGATGAATACAGAAGATGTCAAAAATGCTGTAGCAATTGAAAGCTGTTCATTTCTTTACCAGGAAGAATCATTTTAGATGATTGATGAAATGTAATAGAACAGAAAAAAAAACGTATTTGGAAACCTCTCAAATTCCATAATTTTATATCATTTACTGTCTTTCTTATTATAGATCTTGGCTGCAAAAATATCTCCAAATTTCGTTTTCTTCACCTAGCAGAGAATATATTTTTTAATGTGTTATAAATATAATTGTCTGCTTGTGGTTTGTGAGACTGATCTAGGCTGATGCATGATTTGGTAGAAGGACTGTCAAAATATGTAGAATTCCTTCAAAAGTGGAGCACACTACAGAGCTGTGAAAGTCTGACTGAACTAGAAAGAATCAGAATGTGACAGAGTAGGAAAGCCATCCTAAAGGAAGATCTTGTCCCAAGAAACAAGGAACCAACAGAAAACACATTGGAAATAAGCAAAAAAATAACAACACAGAAAGCAGCAATTTTTAATGAAATATTTGAAACCAAAGAAAGCAGGAAAACCGTATTGTCAGAGACCAACTTCTAGTATCTTACAAGGCAGTAACAGTGAAAGAGTAAACAAGGGAATATATTAATGGCAAAATAATTATTTTTAAAGCCAGCTAAAGAGCTCTTTCTAGATTGGCAGAACTAAATAATTACAGGGAGGTGCAGAGGCAGCATGTCAATCCCAACTCTACACAAATCTATGTCTCAATGAGGTGAGAAACCCCCAAGGAATATCACCTCTTCCATGTATATTGTTTTAGCGAGACAAAACCCCTGAAGAACACTTCTGTCACAGATAGATAGATAGATACCCCAAGCTCTACCAGTCAAGGCAGGGTGGTTTTATGGTAACAGACTAGGAAATCCAAATATTTGCATGTGCTGTTCTTTGTAACAAACCAAATACTTAATGAAGCAAGCGAAATGTGACAAAATTGTAGGCAGACAATAATTTATAAGCTCCTTTTTGTGTTCAGAAATCTATTTTCCGTACAAACTGGCTGTAACGCTGACACTTAAAAAAACAAGGCACTGCTCAGTTCTTATCTCACCCTTAAAGGATCAGTGACGTAAAGCAAGTACTGCTTAACCTTCTTCTTCGTGATCCATATTTCTTCTAGAAGCATGCAGAAAGGCAGTATGTCTGCTAACTCCTGTCTGCTCCTTCCATATAAAAGCCAAAAGAAATATTCCGCAGTATCCTTTAAGAACATGCAGTGAATTTATCATATCTGTTTGTAATGCCCTTTGGGACTCTTCAGGAAGAAAGGCGCAGTAAATGTAAGCTCATTATCATCATTAACTCCTTTTATGCACCAGCTGAGCTCAGAAGAATCAAATGGGGAAAAAAATAAGAAAAAAAAAAGGTAAAATGTACTAACCATTCTCTTATTTTCCTGTTGGTCATTTTTTTTCCCTAAATATCTTAATTACATGAAACTTGTTCTTTATTTGCGAACTTGATAATTAGCTTGACTATTTAGTTAGAGTCACCAGATTACGTTTATATTGCTAAGGAAGAATAAGAATAAAATGGCCTAATTTATATTAAGGGCTATTTAATACAGTAGTGCCGAAATGACTACGCTAGTTCTCCTACGTTTAGAAACACCTCAGGCTTCCCACAATCACACCTCACATGAATGTCTGAGAGATGGTTCAGGAAACAGAAGAACTTTTGGGGCTGTCCTGTGTCTTTCCGCATAACCAGTGGAGCGGCACTACAGCTAATTTGGATGTACTCACTAATTTTATCCACTGAAAAGTCAAACTTCTCATCCGAAGTAATTTTCACAGCTCCTTCTAGGGTATGTAGGGAGAGAGAAGCATCTCCAGAGAGCAATTTCTACCATACGCCTTGGACACTAATATGTAATTGATGGTTTTCAGAAGGCACTGTTCTTTCTCCACTGATAGTATAAACCCAGTGCATACTTTCATGGAAAGGCCTAACTTCCTGGCGGGTAGGTGAACTCGCGCAGCCTTATATATACAGGTATATATAAAGTTATTAACAATTCATATGAAAGGATCCTTTCACCCCTAAACTAGATTCAATCCTTTTAAAATCAATGGCAGTAGTCTTGTATCTTTTACCATATTGGATATATGTAACCCTCTGTGATATATATATTTGATGTGCTTTCTACCGCTGTAGGTTTACACGGTTTTCTCTGGTGACTAGTAATACAGAAAAGACCTACAGAAAAGACCTACCCTGCCAGGGCTGCTCCCGCCCAGCTCTCAAGCCTTTAAAGACTGGCCCCAAGGAAGGAGCTTGCAGCACTTGGTCCTGAATTCAGTCCCTGACAGGGGGAGCTCCTGTTGCCTCAATTGACATTCTGTCCTTTAGATCACACAGGCTGAGTTTCAGGAAAGATATATATATATGGGCTCTCAAGTAGCTTTATGGGATATAGATAAAACATTCAAACCTTTTGGAAATAAGCTACATAAAAAATATTTAAAATGGAAATGAGAGTGATGGAGAGCCCCACAATTTAAGGCTACTTAGGGTGAAGTATTTACTGTACCCAACTTAGGTCAGCTAAGAAGTCATTTGACTTAAAGAAAAATCTGAGAAGCAAGAGCTGGGAAGCAAGTTGGAAAATGCACCCGGGTGCACAAAACCAAGAAGCAAAAGCATACAAATATTTTACAAAGAGGAAAAAAAAAAGAAAAAAAAATGGAAAGGGAAGCAGAATTGCCCCCCAACAAGACTGAAACTCCCCGCCGGCGCCCCAGGCTGCTCAGCCGCGGGGTGATGCTGTGGTCGCGGACGGCGGGACACGAAGCTGAAATCGCCCCCGGGTCTCCCCGGCCCGCGGCGCCCGGCAGGGAGGGCAGCGCCGGCCCCGCGGCGCGTGCGCAGTCGGGCATCGCTAGCGCCGCGAGCAGCAACTTTGCTGCGTGCTCCGCCGCAGCGCAGGTTGCTAATCCCGGCGAGAGTTGCAAAGCTCTGAGACACCCTAAGCCGCGTGTAGCGACCCGCCTTCTCCGAGCTGCCGGGAGAAGAGGCGCGAGGGCTTGCGGCGAGCCGGGGCGGGGAGGCGTTTGCCACCGGAGAGCTCTGCTCGCCCAGGCAGCCCCTAAGTGCGCGCAGCGGCGGGAAGATGCGAAGAGGCAGCGCGAGGCGCGGTGTGAGCGGGCAGGCAGCGGTGCCCGGGAAAGGGCGGAGCGCCCGAGGGGGGTCCTCCCGGCGCCGCGCTCGCTACATTAAC